TCTGAAAGTTCCTGAGGTCTGGCTGGATGTTCTATTTCCGTGTTCGGTCTTTTCCTTCGACATTTGTCCTTCGGGGTTTTGAAGTTTTTCACATCTTGACGTCAAATGCAATGGCACGAGAACTTTTCCATACATAATCATATTACTTCGACCATTGTTTTTGTAATTACTGCACTTCTTCGGGCCACAGGGGAATCCTTCCATTTCCAAATGCCGTCATCTTGAAGGAGAAATTATTCCAGACCATTTCATTCGTAGACGTCAGTATTACTGCATATGGGTAAATGTCATTTTGAAGACTCATTCACACCTGAGCTTAGCCCACGACGTTCAGAGGCATTTAGGGCCCGTTGATGTGGGGAAGATAGAGGAAAGGTCTTGGGGCGTTAATCTGTCCCGCCAGAGGGATGCGCCCCGCATTCGACTTCTATTCAGAATCGTAATGGCGTATTGAACGCGTATGTGGCGTATACAATGACTTGCAGTGACCAGTCGATGTATAAGTCAGTGTCGGTATCCTCCCAGACGAATCTGGTACTGATCAACCGACCTCGGAAGGGTTGGAAGGCCTGGTCGGCCTAGGCGGATATCGATCCGTGTATGATAGTGCGCCACTTGCCACTGCGCAACCTTCATCCGTTGTGCCGTTAGGAGCTTAAAATCGTGACTGGTTTTCGAGTTTTTTTGAAAATTAATGACTCTCATGCTTCTCTGCTTGGGAAAAGATCTAAAATTTCCTTACTATACTGGTTGATATCTTACATTACAAGAACTGCTTGAGAGTATCTCAGTATTTTTCCAATACTGAATGATATCAGATGGGAATTTTGATGTTTCCTGCAGCTGTAAGCCTTCAAAGCAGAAAAAATTGTCTATCCTAATCTAGTATAGGACCATTTCTAATTAGGTTTTCGTTTTTTCTATCAGCAGACTCCCCCCTCATTGGGATAAAAATCGATTCTTCCCCCCATTTGTACTTTATTCGGACTATCTCGGGAAATATACAGCCTCGCGATTAGGCTGGCTCTCACTTTCTCTCTTCAGTCTGGATGATAATGTCTATTCAGTAATGCATCTCCAACCATTTCAGGGTTTAAGTTTCGTTCATAGTAATATCGCTTGTCATTTGTTGTCGCTGGATGTCGTTCAGTGTCGCTAGATAGACTGCACCGTCCCCTACTCCCACCCTACGGTGGTGGCGTAGACCGCGCCATGCTCTTGTTTTCCCATGTAGAATATGAAAGTTGAGTCAATGAATAGAAAAGTCGAATAGAAAAGTTGTTGACGGAGAGAGTGGAAGTTTATTAGAGCGTGGAAGCTCGCAGTAGATCAAAACTTTCAGTAGGGTTATTGATGACAGCAGATAAGTAGTGATA